ACTCTCTGAGAAGACTGCAAAGCCTGTTAATATTTATGAAGTCTGAAGTAGCTTCAAAGACTCCTTCATTTTCTTATGTCATAACAAAAAGCAACACTAATTCATTAAATTTCAAGATGAGTTCACCAATGAACTGTTTTAGTAAACCCTGAGCTCCAAGGAAAATGCCTAACTTCTTTGTTTTGTGTGTGTTCCCCATAGCAATGCAAACGGCCAAAAGATGCAAAGAGAAAACCTGCATTTGTTCAGAAACTTGAAAGACCAAAACACATAAAACCACAAAGCACCCAACACTACAGCTGATCCACTACATCTGACATCTATATTTCTGTGCACACATTAATTCATGGACTAGCCAGCCAGGTTAAGGGCAGAGGGCAGAGAGAGAATCTGTTTTGAAAGACCCTGATTAAGCACTTGCTGTCAAAAGCTTTCCCTCTGATCAAACTCTGTGTCATAAAAATAACCCATTAGAGAAAGTGATCTCTCCTCCCAGCATGGATGCTGCCATGCAGATATTACTTAGCTGAGAAAAGTCTATGTAGGAAAGAAATAGAAACAGTGTACAGCATAAAGGTAGAAAATTGTGTACTTTATTTGGGCCTGACACAGTCAGGTTTGGACAAGAGAGTTTCAATTTGAGATGGCAGAATCCTCTGCACATAATACTGGAGTATTTTGGTAATAGCTAGGGCTTTGGAGACTTCAAAATTAGAGGGTATCACTGCTAAGCCTGATAAATACTGGGGGTAAGGAGAGGGAAGAAGAGACCGTGACCAGCCACTGAACAGCTAAATAGCTTCAACCCAAAAAATTCAGTGAGGTATGCGGCCCTTGACTCAAGCATTTCTGAACAGTATTTATTATCCAGACCTGTGAATAAAAAACAAAACATCAGGAAATGTGATCTATTACTCTTTTAATAAAAAAAAAAAAATTCCCTGTAAAACTGTTAATGGGACCATATGTTACACAAAACACAGACTCTTATCTTCAAGAATCCCTATGGATTTGGTGGTAATGCAGCCAAAATACAAAACATGACTTTTCAGCAGACAAAATGAGGAGAAAAGGAGTCCTTGTTATTCTTCCAACAGATCTGTCATTGCTTTCTGGGTTAAACAGTCAATGCTTCTCCCTAGATTTGAAGTCACCTTATTAAAGATTGAATACTCCAGTATCAGAATGATGCTGAAGACTATGCAGTATCACATGTATCCACAATGTTTCATACCCCAGACGTATACCCCACCTTCAACAGCAGCACTGATCACTTCTCAGACACTGCAAACAGAACTGCAAAGGTTCCGTTACCAAAATAAAATAATCCAGTTGAGGTTTTCTTCCCAAGTTTCAAACAATATTGAATTTCTTTGGTATGCAATATTGCCTCAGCCATTCACTCTAATAATGAACTTCTGTTCCTATAAGCTTTGAATATCACATACCAGGAAGAGAAGGCATAGGACCAGGGAATACCTTCTGCATCCGTTATCTGCTACCACCAGGAAGCAGTTTCCAGCCAGGAAGACAGCAGGGCTGCCAGTCAGCCCCCTGATTTTGCCTCCTCAATTGTGAACTCCCTTCTACCAATCTCTCTGAAACCACGTCCCACAGAAAAGCAAAGCCAGGACAGGCTTTTCCCAGCTGCTGCCCTTAATTCCTCCCGCCCCTGCAGGCACTGACGTCAGGTCACCAGGCCACAGCGATGATGCTCGCAAGGCATCAGGCAGGAGGTCAAAGCCTGACTGATGCCTTCACCCGGAGCAGAAGCCATACCATGCCAAGGAGTGGCACATACACAGCCAAACAACAGCAGGCTACCCCACGCCGCTTGACAGCCAACTCCTGACCAAGGACATGCTGAGCAGATCAGGTCTCATCAGTGCCACAGTTAAACGAGAAAAAAATAAACTAAACCCATCAATCTGATACTGTAGCACAGGTTAGTCCCACCTACTACTGGACAAAACCAGCTACAGGACAAAACCAGCTCCAAGTGCTAACCTGCAGACCAGGAAGCATGACATGGTTCATCTTCAGTCTGGCATCTCAGTCCAAAATTGCCTTTATTAGGGCAGAGGGATGAACCAAAAATTCTTGTGGCCACCACAAGAAAAACAGTGAAACATAACTTGGACTTTCTTGGAACTTTGCACAATTTGGTGTCATAAGACAACCAATTTTATACTTTATCCATTTCAAAGCTAATACCTTAAATGTCAGCTTCAGCAGAACACAGACTAGGACTAAAAAAAGCCCTCCCTTTCTGAATAACTAGATATGGTATTTGATAACTAAATATGGCATTAAAAAAATTAAAAGTTAAACAACGTTTCTAATTCTGAGGAATGAAACTATTTATCATATGTTAAAAGCTGACAGGATGCTGCCAGAGCACAGGGACCTGGGAGCCCTACTTTATTAAATATTTCCTCTCCTCACCCACATCTCAACCGCCACTGGAAATGTGATACCCAAGAACTTGTCCATCATTCATTCCACATCCACACAAGCTTAACAGTACCACATCTATTCAATCTGAAACGCTGCAGCAATGAAGCACAACACAAAAACGTGACAAGAAGTTGTCATTTCCCATTCGCCCCATACGTGCTTTTAAGCTCAGCAACGAGCCATAGAAGCATGGAGGAGGTCCACAAAATAAGTGCACACCTATCGACCTAACTGTCTAACAGCCGTTTACCACGGCTCTGCCATCCTCTCAGTCTCCTTGAAAGTAAACTCTCCAGCTGCATTTCTCTGGTCCTACTCATCCAACACTCCCGTGCCTCATTTGCTCCACATTAAGATGCATCCAGATACTGCATGCTCTAAGGGATCAGTACATACCCGGCTGCTATTTAACATGTGGCTAGCCCCTAACTCAGCTAGGCTCAGCTACCACTCATGAAGCAAACCCCACAACATAACCTGCGTTCCCAGCTCTTACTGCCAAATGGGATGCCAAATAGGATGCCACTCAGCGCCAACCTGGCCGGGAGCGGCAGAAGGTACAGGAGGGGACGACACAGCTTGCACCGCTTCCCCCTCGCCAAGGGAGATCCCCGCACGCAGCCATAGGAAACACCGCCGTGCCCAGAGCCAGCGGCGAGGCACGGCGGGGACAGGGACTAGCAGCCACCACACGGTCCCCAAGACAACAACTACGAGGCCAGCTGGGACGGGCTGCGCGTGCACACAGGGATGTGACCTTTACCAGGTTCTCCGCCGCCCCATGCGCTGTGTTTACTACAGCCAGTGGCTCCCAGCCGGTGGCGGCGATGCCACCGCCTGTCCCCGCAGCCCAGGGCAGCTGCTCCGCGCCGGAGGGGCGCGGGGAGGAGAGCAGGGCCCCTCCTCCGCCCAGGAAACAGGGAGAGGGGCAGCCGGACGCTCCCTGTGCGCACGGGGACAATCTCCTGTCTCCCGCAAAGGCCCGGAGAGCTGGGCCACCGGCCGACACCTCTGGTGGCTCCCCCGCAGCGCCCCGGTCCGCCCCTTCCCCGCCGGACCCGGGAGAGCCGAACAAAAGGCAAACGAAAGACCAACGAACAGCAACCCCTCCCGAGGGACCGGGTCCGGGAGCCACCAGAGGCACTGCGACCCGCAGCAGCCCTGCCTCGGAGCGAGGGGGAGCGTCCGCCCCCCAGCAGGTCCCGCTGCCCACCCGGGGACCTGTGCCCGGCTGGTACAGAAAGGAACGAACAAGCAAAAAAAAAAAAAAATTACTATTACCGTTATTATTAATTTTTTTATAATTATTGTTATTCCCCCGAGACGGCCGGTGCGGCACTCACCCTGCTCGGAAATCGGAGCAAACTCTCATTCACGCTCCCCGCCGTGCCCAGGCCGCCGGAGCCAGGCGACGCCCCGAGAGCCGCCGGTCGCTGATCCGGGCCGGCCCGGGCCGGGCCGCGCACCGCCGGGGCTGGGGCCGGGGCCGGGGCCGGAGCCGGACGCCCCCGCTCCGCTCCGCCCGAACAAAGCGCGGCGCCGCTGCGGGGAGGCGGCAGCAGCAGGTGCCGGTCCGCGCCGCCGCCGCCGTTCCGAGCGCCCGCGCAGCCGACGCCGCAGCGCCCGAGCCGCTCGCCGGGGCCGCGCCGCGCGCCCGCCCCGCCCCCGGCGGCCTCGCGGCGGGAGCCCGCAGAGGCGGGGGCGGGCGGGGCCGCGGGCGGGCGGGCAGGGGGCGGTGCGGCGCGGCCCGGCCCGGCCCGCAGCAGCGGCAGCGCAGAGCGAGGCGTCTACCCGGTCGCAGCCTGGTGGAGACCGGCGGTGGAGGCGGGTCCCCGGTGCCGCGGCCCGCCCGGCGCGGCGCCCGCCGGCTCTGCGCGGAGCGGCAGCGAGCGGTCCCGCAGCCCCGCGCCGCGCCCGGTGCGCACCTGCCCGGAGCTCGCCTGCGGAGGAGTCCAGACGCCCAGCAGGCAAGACCCTCCCCACTGCGCTGGCCGCCTGCGGTGCGGCAGCAGCGGGCACCGCAGTGACCGCAGCGGGGCTGTGCTGCCCGAGCATGCGAGCTGCTGTGCTGCGATGCGGTGTGCGGACAGCGCTGCCCCGCCGTGTGCCGGACCCTGAGTACCGCAGGGTCAGGGGCTCCGTCGTGCTCCGCACTTAGCAAGTGCACGGACAAGGTGTCAGCCTTACCGCTGCTTTGCTGCGAGCCTAGGAATCGTATGGCCGGAGCTCGCTGCGCTCCGGTGAAACAGGGTCTGAAGGCGAAGCCCGTTCCCGAGCCGGGGCACGGCGGTGGCAGGGCTGGGGCTGCAGCCCAGCCCAGCCCAGCCCGGGCACCAACCCTGGGCCGCTCTGGCACCGGTTACAGTGAGCCAGTGGTGCCCACGGTCTGGGCTGGCCGTCTGCGGCTTGAATGCACACACGCTGAGGAGCTCTGGCCCCCAGGGAAGGAAGGGATCATCCTATGTACAGACCCTCCTGGGTCAACACTACGTGTGCTTGTTAATTATTTAGTAAGCATATAGGGCTGTACACCACTGCTCATGCACTGTTTGTTGTGTTTTGTACTGCTTGTCATTAACCCTTGATCTCTTTTTTATAGCTTAAGAAATACAGGGAGTATATGCCGTAAGAAACCCTTTTATTTCTCATTCCTCTCACGTCCAGTCTTCTGGGTTCAGTGCTGGAGGGGCTGCCTCACGGAGTGGCTGCTGAGCAGCATAAGCAATATTATACAATATACAATTTTGTAATATATTTGTCTACCTCAGCGTGCTCCTCTAGCGCAATGGAGATGAGCTGTGGTTTGCTGCATGGCATCCTCCAGTGAGCCCCTGGAGAGGGTGGCCCTGACTCTGCTGCTTACCTCTAGCAGATTCGTCTATTTGCAGGGTGGTGACATTTTGTGCTCACCAGTGTCCTCATATTTCACATCATCTCATGCCCTTTGTGTGCTGCCTTTGTAAATCTTTATTTTTTGAGATCAAGAATTCATGAATCAAAAGATGGGGGAGTGGGGAGGCTGAGTCAGATTGTGAAAAAGGAAAGCCAAGTGAGAGTGTGCAATTGCTTATCACATTTACAAACATAGTTTCATTCATTCATCTCCATATGTTGCTCCTGTTACTACTAATAAAGCTCTGGTTTCTCAGACTGGAGCTGCCCTGGAAACACTGATTTTCATGGGTTTTTTACTTTATAGCCTCTACAGTATTTGTGTTACAGTATATTATTTTCCTAATTACCTTTTCATTACATTGAACATGTTAATATCAGAAAGAATTTGATAATATGAATGTACTTCCCACACAATCCCTGTTGTTCCTATTATTTGATGTGCAAAGGAGTGACAGATTATATACCAGCAGCAATTTGTTTCCCTCTATTCTGGTAAGATTTCCTAATTATAAAAACAAAAAAGCTTTTTCCCTGAGTGCACACCCCTGTTTGCTTCCTCTTTCTTTCCTCATCTTGCTAATGATAGCCGACTCCATCATGGTGATTTTGGAGCTGCTGGAAATCTAGCTTTGTCTACTGAAAGATTTCTACAGAAACCTTTATAGGCAAAGGGAGCCAGAGAGCAAGTCTGCTTTAAGCATGATGGTGACTGAGGTTTTCTTCTCTGGCTGGGAGGTGTAACTGTGGAGTGTATAGTAATTAATTTAATTCAATGTCGAGAGAAAAGGGGGAAGAATTGTTGTATTCGGGAAAAAATAAGAGTCTTAAAAGTATCAGATGTAAGACTTAAGCAGCCATTTCAATGACCTTTGTGATTTCTATTTCAGACAAAAGGCAGCAACCTAGTACAAGGGTATCATTTGTCTTCTCCCAGCCTCATCCTTTGTTCTCCTTGGGTTTAGCCTGTCACTTCCTAGGGTTTGGCTCTGTCCCTTGTTGGGACAGCAGCACTTCTCACCCGTGACTCTCAGAAGTGCTGTACCAGCAGGTGATGTTTTTTCTACTGCTTATTTCACATCTTCTCTACTGTGCAGCCTTTTTTTTCTTCTTATGACCCTCCGAGTTTCTCTGCCTTATATGCTTCAATATTTCTGCCTTGCCAAACATTGCACTGGTTACTTTACCTTCCCCCTCTCTCTGCTTTTGTCCACTCTGGCTTTTCTCTCATTTTTTTCCTCTTTCGTATATCTTCTCCTTCTTACATCTTTCCCCCCCCCCCTCTTTCTGTCTTTCTTTTTATATCCTCTCCTGCTGTCTCCTTTCTGACATCCCACTTCCATCCACTCTTACTCTACCTTCCTCTTGACATTTTTCTCTCCAAGCTGTTCCTTTTGTTATTGTCCTTTTCATCCCTTAGATTTACATATATATGTAAAAAAATAATGTAATAAATATTTATAGTAATATATTACATATATATGTGTACACATATACCTGTACTCTATTCCATGTCTTCCATTCTCCAGCTGAAACAAAGGAATTACTCATGCTGATGGTTTGATCCTGTTGCATCCTGTCCTCAGTACCTGAAATACACTGCTCCTGCCCATCACCAACATATATATTGAGTAGACTGAAGAATTAAGTCTGTGGGAAATGTTCCTAAATTCAGAAGTGTACTTAGGAAAGCATCTTGCTCAGGCTGCACTGTGAACAGAGCAGTTGTTGTGCTCTGACTGACAATACCAGAGGAGGACTACAAGTCCTTTGAATTCAAGGACCTAATGACATTTTCTTTACATTTCTCAATTTCAGGTTTTTTTTAATGAAAAGATTATAATATTAGATAAGGGACACTACCATCTCTTTGAATTATCCCTTAGATCCTGGACTGACACAAAATAAGACCTCACTAAATGTGGTTTTTTTTTTTTACCTAATTGTTTAGGTTTATACAGTCGTTAAGCCACTTTTCTGCAGTTATTGGAGAGAAATGCTTTCTCCTTATCAGTTCTAAGTTTTGTCTCTGAAAAGGGCTCTGTATGGGGTGAGACTGGGATCTTGGCTTGTCAAGCTTCCCCTTTCTTTGGAGCCAAAGGGAGAGGAGAGGAGAGAGCTGTGACTGCAGGATCATATGCATTGGGTGGGAGATGGAAGAATAGATGCATAAACCAAAAATACTACATTAACCTCAGAGGGCGGGGGGTGGAGTAGTTTAGTAATTATTACCCTTGACTATCACTGACAACAAACACCATCATTGGGGATCAAGGGCAAATGTTAAATTTTGCTATTTAAATAAGAGTCTTCCTTTTAAATAAATCATTTAATAATTAAACTTTTTTTCTTTTTTTTTTTTGTCATTCAAAGAGCATACTACTGACTGCCTGGAATGAAAACAGCTCTATCCCACAGACTCCACCTCTGCTTTCTAGCAGCTTACCTGACTCATAAAGAGAGTGGGGAGTTTTATATGCCACCTACATCAACTCAACATTTTCCTTTGTGGTGAGAGTTAATCACCACCCTTGTCATATTATTTCAGCCTATTGAAGTCAGGATTCTTTACCTTTCAAACCAGCCTTAAAACATAGGGTGAAGTTTTTTCCTGAATTTACTAGAGTATATAGGTGGTCCATTGCAGTAAGGTTCTCTGTGTTATTTGTTTAAAAATAGCCTTTACCCCCACTCTCAGGAAAGAGTTTCCATTTGCAGAGAACACATCTCTGACAGGAGGTGTGGCACCTGGAGAGTTGAGATCCTCAGCCTGAAGGTAGAGGACTATCCCCCAGGTAATCATTTCAGATGGTGTGTGTTGAGGAGCAAACTGTGGGGTTTTAGCCATGATCAGGATTTAGCCATGAAGAGGGTAAAGTTTTGCTTATATTAGACATAGTCAGAAAAACTAGACATGCTTTGGGCACATAAAATCTCTCCTTATAACCTGTTTGTATAATCTGTGTGACTCTGTCTCTTGTGGGCAGAAAGATCATCTGTAGTAGACTGATATTTGTCAAGCAGAAAAAATTACGTGAAAGAAGACTGGAAGGTAGGAATGAGAAAAAAACACAGAGATGGCAATATAATGGGTACAGTATGTATAGAAGGCAGTGGAGGAAGGGATAGGAGGAACAAAAAGTGCACCTCCTGAAAGGCTGTTGGGAGTTACAAAGAGGACATGAGTTACCCTTCCTCCTGCAAAGTGTAAGGAAGCTTAGGCAGAAAAGCATGGGACTTTTTGCAGAAGAAATTCTTGAAATGAGTTAGAGGAAGGGCGGAGAGGAAGGAACTACTGTGGAGCTCAGTACTTCAGGAGAACACCTAGTGTGAAGGAGAGCCAGGGAAATCATTTGGTAAGAGTTTCCTCATTTCTCTGTTACAAAGGCAAGTAGAATCAAGGAATGGGAAGGAAAGGGGAAAACCAAAAGGACTGAAGTTAACCATTGGCAGATGTCAGTTAAGGAAGGGTAGATAAAAGGAAGCTGCTGCCATGTTGGCAGAAATGGGGAAGTCCTCTTTGGGTCCTCTGTGCAACCTGGAAATTGAGAGTAACAAGTGGGGTGCTACAAGACAGGAGACAGGGAGCATCCTGTCAGGAATGAGCTGTCTGACCATGTATAATATAAATATAGGTTATTTCCTATTTGTATTATTCTTGATATGTTTAAGTCTTAAAATGCACCACAGATAACAGTGGTTGTGCCTTGAAGATATAGAAGCTATAGTTGGCTCAATCTTCCTGTAACCCCCTCCTCTTTCTCACATGCCAGAACTAACCCCGTTTTATCTCCTCTCCTGCACTGTGGGTCCTCAGCCTAGCTCCAGTCATCCTTCTTATTGATTGCACCTGCTTCATGACTGGGGCACAACTCCAGATGAGGACTTAGCAGTCACCTACAAAGATGTGTTTCTCAAAGCAGAGGTACTAATAAGCTCTGGGAAGGAAGCATGCTGGGAGAGGCACCAGCAGGGCAAAAGAAGAGCAAAAAGAGAGCACTTTATCTGAGAAAAAACAGACTTAGGAGATCATAGGAGACTCTAGGATTACTACAGTGGGGAGACTACAGGCATGGATGCCTCAGGAGGAAGGTGAATGTGGGAGGATGGAGCCATGGATGGTTAAAAATAACAGTATGGTACAGATAATATGGCACTCCACTGGTATTTTAAACCTGCTGCCTTTGAAAACCCATCTGAGTTTTGAAAAGCAAACCTTAAATTTAATTGTTCTAATTGGTACTGACCATCCAGGACCACTGGCATTTTGAGCCTGTCATTTTGTCCAGCAACCCCCATTTTCTGCACTGCTGGTCTAGTGGTTACAACCAATTCTACAGCAGATTGCTCTTTGTACCCCAACCGATGTAAACATGGATATATACCCAGTTATGTTTTGATTTCTCTGAAAGGGGGATGGCGTTTGTGATTAGCACACTAACTCCATGTGATAATGATGCTATCACAAATTAGAGGTAAATTAAAGCACCATTCACAAGCATTTGTACAATGTGGAATTTGGGCCTGGGTTGATTCGGACCTGAAAGCCTTTTTTTTTTTGGTGTTTCTGAACAACTGCCAGCTTTTCAAGCCTATGGCTGTTCCAAGTAATGCATTAGTCTCTGTACAAATAACATGTGAGATGGGACCAAGTGGCAGCAAACCTGCCAGGGCTTTGAACCTCCTGGCACTTGTAATGGGTGTGAGAAAACATAGGAAGGAACAATAAATAAAGGAATAAAGAAAAGAGAAGTAGAAAGTGAAGGACATCTCTGCATTTTGATAATAATTCTTCAACAGCACAGCAACATAGAACAGAAATACATTGTCTGGTTAATGTAGAGCAGTTATTTGCTAAGCCAGAGCCATCTCCTAGAAATATTTTTCTTTTTTTAAGTTTTGTCTTTGAATCATGAAAGGTATGGGTTTCTTCATCTTTCTCCCCTCCTCCCTTGTCTTTATCCTCCCACTTCCAAATAAGGATGTAAATGATGTTCCCTCTCATTGCCAGTGTAAATTTATTCATGAACATTTTAAAATGGCTTATTGTCAGTTCTTGTTCCAGAGTTTACTTTTACCTTCAATAACTCTTGTGTCCTTCGTGCTCACCGTGTCTATTTCTGGAGAGAAGTCAGCTTGCCTTTTCAGGGAAGCTTTGCTGTGCTGTCCTAGCCACGCTTCACTCCTCTCCTTGCATCTAGCAGGCTCTCCATTTTCCTGCTTCTACAGAAGATGACCTCTAACACTCAGAGGACTTTCTGCTTGTGGTAATGTGATCTAGTGACAGCAGCAGAAAAAGGTGTCAGCAGTCCTGGATCATGTTCCCAATCCAGTCTTTGGATGATGAGAGGTCTGGGGAAGGACACTTATATTTGTTTCCCTGCAGGCTCCAGTAATAGTCACACATCTCTGTTTTACAGTAAAATTGCTTTTACAATGCAAAATTAATTATTAATGCACACATTACAATATTTTCAGTATCCTGTAGCAATGAAATCAGATGCTGTGCCACTTGCTGCCTTTTGGCTTTTGGCATGCCATACAGTCCTTTTGGATGTACCTGTATGTGTTCTGAGGCACCCAGGCTTTATAGCCATGATAAAGCAGCTTTCACATATTCCTGACTTTTTTGGTAATTGCATGATTTCTGCTATTTTTTCTTAAATAATTTTCTGGACTTGCTGAAATATGAGCAATGTAACTGGGAAGTGATGATTGAAGTGAGAGACTCTTTTAGAGGGAATGTTAGAGGTCGTGATTGATTACAGCTGCACACATCATGTCCTCACGTGGTGCTTCCTCCCCATGTAAGGGGAGATTTGGTGATATTGCCCCTGTCTTTTGAGCAGACATGCATTAGACCCGAATATATCCCATGAAGGTTGTTAAAAAGCTTTGTTGGGTTTGTCTCACCCATGCCATTGAGAATAGGTGGTAAAACCTACATTGTGATGTACCTACTACATCACTCAAAAGCCTTAATGATGTTAGTCTGATCTTCAGTCCAATTTGGGCACATAGCTTTCTACTTTGGCAAGGGTTTATATCTGA